TTTACCTGTAAAAATAAATTGTTGAAAAGTCACATTTTTTTAGTCTTTCGTCTATTAAAGCTAAGAAAAAAAAATTTTTTTAAATGAGATGTAAAAATTTTTAATGGTCAGTAATTTTATCCCTCCCCCCCTTTTTTATCTAAATTGCACGATAAGTGGACACTTTCAATTAGCGAGTTTCATCGTTAGTTTGTCAATATTTGAGACATTTCATTTCGTCAATCAGCTTTTCCCCCAATTTTTTCTTCCTTAATCAACGCGACTGATTTGTAAATATCAAATCTTCTCTCTCTTTTTCGTATATTTAGAGGCAATTTTCTGATATGCATCGTTTTCTCCAATATGGCAATTTTAATTAGTCTTAAAAATTACATTAAAAATTAACTTAAAAATTTATAACTTTATACAGATATTTATATGTTTTTTTTATAATTCCTTAAATTTATATTTATGTATAGAATTATACATTTATATATTATTATTAACTATCTATATGTTGATATATAAAAATAATATCAAATACTTTGGTTACGTCTATTTAAATTTCAAAAAAAGGTTGTGGGGATTTGTCAATAATACTTGTAGGCAAAAACTGATTGGCAATTCGAATCCGGATTTCGTAATCTCTTTTGAAAAATGAGGGTAAAATGGTTTGATTACGTGGATCAATAATCGAATTCAAAAGATGGATGGATTTCTGATAAGAGGAAAGCACGATTACTTCGTGTCTATATATATATAGTTTTTTTTACTGACGATTTTACATTGGGAAAAATTTGAATTTTTTTTTTAAAAAAGTAACATTTCCCTTCAATTGAAGACTTTATAATTTTATAGAGTATAATTTGGATTTTTTCCTGAAACTCTTTTAGCTTTTTAATACTAAAATTTTATCGGGAATATAATTTCATTATTAATTTCATTATTCATTTTTCTTTAATTTTTAAAAATAATTATTCTTAACAATTAATTAATAAAATAATTACTGTTTGCAAAAAAAAAATTGTTTATTGGTCATTATTTTCATTCGTTTGGTTTAAATTTTATTTAAACTCTTAAAAAATTTTGTAGAAAAAATTATTTTTATGATGAAGAGTCCAGGGGAAATTTTAAATTTCTTTTTAGTTTGACCAAAGAAAAGACATTTTTTTGTGTGATTCCGTTTGTTTTTAGAATTTGTCGAAAGCAAAGTATTTGATATTATTTTTTTTCTCACCTTCGTCAAGAATCGATCTTTTTGTGTCAATCCTCTGGGAAATCAAGTTGCGCACGCTTTCAAAGTGATTAATTAATTTTCGCCGCAGACAAGCAAAACTCCTCGCCAAAGGCGAAATAAACTTTTTCGATTTTACGTTTTACCTGGAATAGGCCATTGTTCAAAAGTTTTTCTTTTTTCTCTATTTATTTTTTTTAGATTAATGTCAGTTACACAATTTTGAATTCAGTAATGTATTAAAAATATATTAAAATTAATACGAAAAAGAAACCTTTTATTCGTGCTTTAAAAAAAAAAAAAAAAAAAAAAAAAAATTAATAACAAATGTTTTGTTTACAATAAAAAAATAATGGTTCGTTTATATTAAATAACTAATGTTATAAACAATAAAAACGATAAAGTAATTTTTTCTATTTACAAAGTAAAGCTTAAAATGTTTGGGATTTTTGCATTTCTGATGTCAACTTTTACTATTTTGGAAGTAAATGTTACCAATTTCCACCATCGAAAAATATAGAAAAATATTAAAATTTACTTTGAAAATAGAATAAAATAAAAAATATAGAATAATAGTAAAATTTACTTCGAAAGTATAGTAAAATTTGCAATAGGAATTGGTATAAAGTACAAGCAATTTAAATTTGACTGCAATAGTATTTTAAATTTAACTTTTTTTTCTGGTAACAATAAAAATAATAACAATAATAATATGAATAATATTAATAATAAATAATAACAATAATAATATTAATAATAAATAATAGCAATAAATTATTATAATATTATAATTATATAATAATAACAATAAAATATTCACAGAAAAACAATAAAGTAATTTTTACCATATTTACAAAGAAAAACTTAAAATATTTCGAACCTTTGCTCTTTTTGTTAAAACTCAAGACGAATGATCAATAAAAAAATTGATTTTCGACGAAGGTCACTTAAAATCTATGATATGTTTATAAACTATTGGCTCAACGACAATGTAATAAACGATAGCAAAAATTGTTGCAATTTCACTCTCTCACACACATTTTTTCATCATCATCATCATCTTCATCATCATTTTTTTTACTTATTTTTTTTTAAATCAGTTCTCATTTTCCCTGTACATAACTGATTGCTTATTATGAATAGTGAATATCGAAAGCTTTTTTTCCTCCTTTTTTTGTTTCATTTTTTTTGTTTCATTAATTAATTTGCGCATTTATATTAAAACACTATATAAAAATGTACTCAAAAACATTCCACGCGGGATATAATGGGCCCATTGCAAAGTTTTCTGTAGCTTACGGATAAGTTTCTACGTTGAATAGAGCAGAAATTTTCATAAATTTGCAAATATAATAAAGGCACGAGCTGGATGCGAAGTTAACTAAGTTTTAACCCCGTAGTTTGAAATTTAAATATTTAATGTTAAGTGTTTTGAATTTTATTTTTTATGTTTAAACGCAATTCTTTCTTTTAGTTTTATGTGTATTATTTTGAAGAAAATAATTGTAATTGTAGTAATTGTAATTTAATATTTTAAAGATTTTTAATTCAACTTGATTTTTCTTTAGAGTTGTGTATTTGAATAAAATAATAATTGAATCCTGAATTGCGAAAAGGGGAACCGTAAGAGTCATTTTCCCATAGGTAATCATTGGAAAAATGACCTTTACGGTTTTTATAGTTTTTGAAATTTGTTTTTAAAATTATTGATGAAAATTTGTTTCTGTACTTTTTGAATTCGATTTATAATTTATAAAAACTCGAATATATAAAATTAATTCCAAAGTTTAGTAACTCCACATTTCTCATATTTTGTTTATTTTTGTTAAAATACACATTAATGCGAGAATTTTTGATAACTGAATGGATAATTGGATAAATAATAATTTATTAATGCTTCAATACAGTGTACAAAATGTGGTGTGCAGATTATTAATTATTAATTATAAATTTTTCCCGCTAAAAATAAAATTTATTTTTGTCTGCTTTTATGAATATACTTTTTTTGTAACTGATGATTGAATTTTTTTCCTTTTTTGTGTAACTTATTTAGCCAAGTAATAATTTATAAATTGACCCTGACTGAAGGTCGTACATCTTTTTCGTGTACACGCGACGACCCATTTTTCATTTTATTCATTTTGACAAAGATCGGTATTTGTAGCTTTTGTTCCTTGACGTGAAAAAAATGCGATAACAATCAGTTTAATAAAAAAAAAAACTCGTACAACGCTGGGCTGCTAATTAGCACAATCGATACGGAACTAGATTTTAAAAACTGTACTAAAATCAGATTATTTATAATCACGTAAAATCGTTTTCGCGCTTTTCATGCCATAATTTTTTTTTCTTAATTTAATTCCATTTATTATAATATATGATAATGTTTCCCCTATTATAATTATTATAATCAAATAAACACACTGTTTTCTCTGAAACAAGATACAAACACGATTGAAAGTGACACTTGAAATGTAAAAAATACGGATAATTCAATAATTTTATTACACTTTCATTATTATTGTTATAATACGTACGTACGGAAAATTGGTCCAAAGCTAAATATAAAATATATTTTTTTATTGTAAATTATCGATAAATAATCGGAATTCTTTTTTGCTTGTAAAAATTATTAAAAACTAATTTTGCACTTTTGAAAATTTAAAAAAATGTATGAATACAGTGGGACGTCGATTATCAGAACCTCTGTTATCCGAACCCTCTATTATCCGAACCGAAAATCATTTTATCCGAACTTCTATTATCCGAACCTTTTTTGGCCTCCCGAATCTTTCAAAGGAAAATAACGAAATTTATGCCAGAAAAATCTTAAAAAATTCTGAATTCTATGTTTTATTAATATATTATTATGAATTAATATATATTTACGTATATATACTTATGTATATTTAAAAAAGTGGATTAAATGAAATATATATAATTCAACTGTCGATTTTTTACTTTAATTATATTAAAAAAATTAAAATCTCTATTATCCGAACTTTCGATTATCCGAACCCGTCTTTGCCTAGGTTAGTTCGGATAATCGAGGTTCCACTGTAGTAATATTAAAATACTGCAAACAATGCTTTAGGGAAATAATTTTTAAATAATTTTGTATAGATTTTTTAATAATTTTTTTAATTTTTAAATATACTTTTTTAAATTCAAATATTTTTTAAAATTTTGTATTAACTTTTGAAATTCTGTTTCATAACGTAAAGATTGTTCAAAGTGATTGTGTGATAGTTTCTGTTTCCATTGAATCTATTAAATTTGTTTATAACTTTGTTTTCAAATAGAGTACAATAATTTAGTATTTAAAAAAAATCGAAATTTCTACTTAATTTTTCCATTTAGTTTTTATTGAATATGCAAAAAAGTGAAATTAATTTAAAATTGATAAATTGTAAACTGCAAAACTGAATTTATCTTTACTTTGCCTTGTTAAAATATTAATGACAATTAAATGCAATCACAGGGAAGGTAACTTCTAATTAGATGTTATTGCGACCTATATTTGATAATTGTCTAAATTACACTAATTACTTAGTAATTATACGCGTCAATTAAATAGAAGACTGTTTAAAATTGACAAGCTTTGTCAATCTGAATTATTTCTTTTTATATAAAGTTTACAATGTCTGAAAAAAGTTGTCTTGTAGTTTTGATTCTTTTGAAGGATATATTATTTTTAAATTTGTCATTGAAGACTCAAAATTTTCATAGTTTTTAGTTTTATTTAATAATATTATTATAATTTTTTATTAATTATTTTTTGTTACAGGTTCCAGAGACTTCTTCAAGGTATGTAAGTATAAAAGGAAGTTAAATATAATTGACCACGTATTGGGGGGATCTACACAATTCCACGGCAAAGGGAGAAGGACTTTGAAAACCAGTAAAAGCAAATTATTTCTTTGGTACCAAATGCAAATTTTATTTGCATATTTTACTTCGGAAAATTAAAAAAAGTTTTCTTGGATTGATCTAAATTGAAAAAATTCGGAAAAGTAGCGAGTTTATAAAAAAAAAATTAGTAGGAACCTTTTAAAATTCAGCCAAGTTGTTAAAAAATAATTTCGTTTGACGTAATTATTATGACTTTATAAATTTCCCCTTTCAAATATTTTTATTTCATTCATAAAAATTGATTATCCTTTTTGATGAAAATATTTTCAGATTGACAAAATTTGTCTTAAATACAAAATGTTTCATGGTAAATAATAAAGCGAATTACGATTTTAGTAATTTTTGAAATTTTCAATGAATTGTAGTTTTTGAATGACTTCGAATTAAATTTATTTGGGAGAAATAAATTTTTTTAAATTATTATATGGAAAAGTATTATTTTTATTGCTTTCACTATTATTCAAGTGGGGGTTGAACATTAATTTTAAAACCTTCTAAACTCCACTTAGAGTCTTATACAATATTCATTCGGCTATTATAAAAGAAAAATGATGAAAATTTTCAAATAAATGACTTTTTTCGACATGAAAAAGAAAAATATTTTTTTGAAAATTTTTCTACTGTAAAAATTAATTTAATTAAAATTATATTTTCACTATTAGCAAGTTGCTAGAAAATTATTAAAAATCGCACAAAAATAATAAATTTATTTCTTTATTTTCGAAAATAATAATAAAATGTTTCCGTTTAATATAAATTAAAAAATTTTTATTCTTTCAACATATAATAGAAATTAAATATTTAATTAACAATAATAGTTTTCGTTTTTGGACATTTTCCAAATTCGACACTTGGAATCTGTCCAGAATTTAATCAGACAATTCACATCATCTTGTGCGAAGTTCAAGTGAAAAGTTTAAAGGGTAACCGCAAACAAACGAAACATTTGTTTTCAAATCACTAGATAAAAATAAGAAAATTATAAGTGTAAATCTACTTTTTCAATGAATAAATAAATAAAGTAAATTCAATAAATTATAAATAAATAAAACTCAATTTAATAAAGAAGTAAAATATTTCATTTCCATTACTATTGAATAAAATTTTATCAATTATTATTATGTAATAATTATAACAATAAAATTTAGACATAATTTAATAAAGTAAAAATTATAAAATTAAATGATAGAAATTGTATATTATTGAATATGTAAACTTTGACTTTTCCTAATTATGACTAAAATAATTATATAGAAGTAAATAATAAAAATTCAGTTATAGAATATTTAAAAATTTAATTCGAAGTTAACAGAATATAGAATTCAAATTCTATGATTTGGCTTGAAAATTTTTTTGATAAGCTGTGACTTTTGCTTATGACTAAAAAAATTCCCTATTATAATTAAAATTTACTTTCATTGTGTTTCACTGAGAATAAATCTTTTTTTTCCATTTCTATATAATATATATTTATATATAATGGACAGTAAATTCGTTTTTTTAAACTGTTGATAATAAATTTAACATATTAATTTATATATAAATATTATCACAATCTTGATATGTATTCGTTACGCAATCAGTATTAATATTTTACGTTTTGAATATATTTTGTTTTGATATCAATTGTCGACTTGTACCAGAAACTTTTTAAAATTAATTAAACTTACCATCTATGATTATAGTTTTTCTTTTAAATGGTATACACATATACATTTTTTGTATATATATAAAGTATACGTCCTAGAAAAATTCTATCGCACGATATTTTATTTCTAGGCAAGTAAAAAAAGCTTTCGAATTCCAATCATGACAATCAGTTTGTATAATATATATTTAAGTTCGTGACGAAAGAAAATCATTTTTTTTCAAATAAGCATTTTAATTTCTTTTTTTGTTAAAATTATTATCACATCTTTATATATATGCTCTTTGAACTTTTCATCTAAAATGCAGCTATTCAATTTGAAAGAAGATTCTTCACTGTTCTCTTTTTCTAAACAATAGGGGTAATTTAATTTATTAAAATTGGTAATTATTGTCTTGGCAATTAATTTAATAAAGTTTTTATTTAAATGGATAAATTGGACTAGTTTTGATTCTTTACTTAAACTAAAATTATTAACTAAATAAAGTACAATTGGGAAAAAAATCAAAATCGACGTATAGTTCAAAACAGAAGTAGAACTATCTTTTTAATGTAAAGAAATATAATTTAACGATAATATTACAAGATTTCTATTGTAATGAAAAGTTATAGTTATTCAGCTTAAACTGGAAGTTATTTGAATTTCACATTGAACTTCTCAATAGTGGTTGTTATAACTATGTAGATCTTGAATTGCAGCCTTAGGCGGAAACGAGGGAACTCTGTCGATGAATGAAATAATGGAGCATTATTATCGTGATAATAATGTTCCATGAAAACAGTTTTCCCTCGTCTTTATATAGATTTACAAACCTTTCTTTAACAAAAATAAATTTTCGATTCTTTGGTTTACAAACAAAAATAATAAATTTTTCTTTTTTTTGCAGAAAAAGTGAATAAATCTTCTTTCCTAGCCTTAAATGAATAATTAATGTTTGCTTTAGTCGAATCTTTCGTCACGACTGATATGTATTCTTTTTTTTGTAATTATATTTAATACCTTAACGATAAGTATAACAACTTCCAATGTGGATTAGAAAAATATTAAATCTTTGCATTTTTAGCTATCAACTTGTTTAGTATTTACGATTAATTAGCCAAGGATCAATGTGATCCAAATGACGTTGGATAGACTGAAAAACGCCCTTCTTAGAGGCATCATTTTTCTTTTTATCATCTCTTTTTTTTCCTCGCTTCAAAAAAAAAGATCCATTCACGCGCAGGCTCATAATCTTGAGCCGATTCTGCACAAGAGGATACTTGAATGCTTTTCATCCAGGGTATTGCACTCTTGATTGCTTTTTGATTGTATCGATAAAGACTAGAGACTGCAAACTCAAGATGTATTTCAAAGACTAGTTTCACTTTCACAAAGAAAATATTGGTTTTTGCTTTGAATTTAAAGTAAAGTCCAGTCTTTATCAATTTGGAAATAGATGTTATCGATTCTTCGAATTAAATCCGAGAGGTTTTGATGTTTAGATTAAGGATTAGGTATAGATATCTAGTTTTACTGATTCTTTGAGAAAATTATAGACTAAAAATAGTCTGAATATTTAAGATTACTTTTTTATGATAGACCTTTAAGGGTAATAATCGAAAGAATGACAATTGCGAATGGTGAATAAAAGTGCTCCCCAGGATCCTATAAAAAATGAATGTTGCAAGTCGCAGATCTTTAATCTAGAGAACTGATCCAAGTATGATATAGGAACATCGTAAAATTCTTCATTTTGTGACAAGTTTTTTTTCTACGGTTTGCTTTTTTTGCTTGAGAAAATAAAACTTGAGAGAGAGATAATCTCTAGTGCAGAATCGGCATAAGTAGAGCTTAGAGACAAGTACAACCAACTGTATGTATAAAAAAAAGCTAGAGACTAAAGACTGCTAAAGTGAGAGATCTATTCCTCAGGCCAGCCAAGGTCCTCGCCCACCAGGTCATAAAAGCGTTGGTTGTGTTCATTGAAAAACTTGCGAAGTTTCGTAACTACCACAGGACTGACTCGTGGATGTCGACGACCTTTGCTCTCCCGCAAACACTTTTCTGCTGTGTCATTGCGCAGACAGAAGAAGCCCTTGGTGTTGTTAAAGTAAAAGTTATGTCTACCAATTTTTGGCTCCAGACCTAGGAAGCTCTCGATTCTGCGCAATTGGGGTACGGGATCTTCTATAAGCCGATCACCATTCACTACCAGCATTTGATCACGGGAGAATACCTCCAGCCATCGATGCATGTAGTTATGATAAAGGGAAATGGCGATTGGCCTATAGAATTCATTGATGGAACCATCGGGCCTAATAACAAGTTCCTCGAATGTGCGACTTATTTGTAAATAAGGAACTGGCGTTCCATTTGTTGTTGTTGTTGACGCTGTCGCTGAATGTGTTCGCAATTGTGTGTAGTCTGATATTGCTCTTGTTACTGGCTCGCGCACGATTAACAGTAACTTTACACTCGAATTCATCGCACGAATTCTTTCAGGCACCTGAAATAGAAAATCTTATTTTAGTCTCAATTCTCCATTAGATTAGATTCTCAAAAAGTTCGAATATTAATTTATCCAATTAAGAGCCACTACCATTTACGAATTAAAACCCAAAGTGCTTGGTCAATTTTAACAATTTTTTCCCTTTATTGCTTCTGTAATTTTCTTGTCATTTGCATATCCGGAAGTACTAAAATTTCAAATAGTAAAAATTGCAGAAATTGACAAAAATATCTGACATTTCAGGTTTTAGATCGAAGTTATTTTCTCTTCCCTTGTATAGACAGTTTCATTAAAAATCTGCTACATGTAAATTGATACCGGAAAAAAGTCAAAAATTTATATCAGATAACTTATGAATAAGCTTTCAATTGAAATTTCAATCTTCCGATATTAATTGATAATCTCAGACTCTTATGCTTTTGCCAATTTCCATACTTTATTGCATAAAACATTTTAAAATGAATATACGTTACAGTGAGTTGAGAAATACTGGAATATTGAAGCAATAATCCCATAACATTTAAATAATTATCGTCAATTAAAAATATTTAAATCTCATTCAAAATGAACTGCTGCATGCATGAGAAAGAATTAACTTACAGAAACTGATATATCTACATTTAAAAACTAAATACAAAATTCAAATTTAAAATCTATTATTAAACAATATTTAAATGAAATTCTTGTTTCAATAGATTTTCTCTTTTATTCTAAAATTCAACTCAATATAAATGTTATGTGAGGCAAAATTAACAATTATCCAATCATAAATTATCGTGGGAATTTTGAGAGGACAATTTAAAATTTTGCGGCATGACGCTTATGCCTGATTAGTTTTTAGGTAAAATGAAATTACGTGGAAATGAATTTTCGGTTACAAATATTGATTTCGATGTTACAGCAAATAACCCACTTTCATTTTACACTTTGATAATTTCGAATGTTTGATTTACTTCCTCTTGATGTTTAAATTTATATTACACTGTTAAAATTGTCAAATAAAAATAGGTGTTTATTTTGAACCAATTTTAAGTACTGAATATTTTTGATTTATTTTAATGTACCTAAAAATGGCTTTAGTCAAAAACTGCTTTTAATTTGACAATGTTTTTTTAATACCGTTTGTTCAGTGTATTTAATATAAAATTATATTCATAAAAAGACATTAAAATATGTGGTTTAATTAAAGAAGATATAAACTGAAAATTTTTAGACAAGGACGCAATTATGACACACGTATCTATTAAGTAAAATTAGAAGTTATGATGAGAGACAATTAGGATAAAGGAAAATTAGATAATGATTCGTGCAGTTAGAAATTAAATTACGTGAGCTGCTAATTTAGATTAAGGCAAATTGGACAAAATGTTGAAAAATTAACTTTTCATAATGTTCCTTATTTTATTTAATACTTTTCTAATAGTGGAAAATAATTTTAAAATTAAACATGCATATTAAAAAAATATAAAAAATTTTTTCCTAATCAAAAGTTACAAAGTTTTTTTTTGAAATATAAGCTGACTTAAAATTTACTAACAATGTTTTAAACAATCTTTTTCATATTCGAACAAATGCTATTTTCGTAAAAAAAATTATATTGAAACAATTTCTCTAATAAAACTTTCTGTATAAATTTTGGAGATATATCTACGCGTTGGAGGCAAATAGAAAAAAAAACTTGTAGAATATTCAACGAAAAAGTTAACTTTTTGTAACTGAGTTTAAAAGAAATAAATTGAAATACCCATGCAAGAGATAAAATTTCAATTAGATTGAAATATTGGCGAATGTAGTTTTGGATTTTGCAATTTGTATACATAAAGAAATTTTCGTGCGGATTAAAAATAGAAAACTAATAACAAAATAAGAGTTCTTAAAAATGCTTGAGTTTTTAACGTTCAAATGAAGGATATATTTTTTATTAGAAATATTTTTATTAATTTCTGATTACTAATTACTTTTAAAATTAAAAACAAATTTTTAATTTAGAAACTGCAATTAATCTTCTTTCTGACTATAAATTGTAGATCAAAGAACCGGTTATAATTTTTTAAGCTAAAAATTATCGTTTAATAAATTTAAAAAATTGTAAAATTTTATATCATAATTTTTGGAGGGGCTTTTTTATGATCTTTAATACAGATACAGAATGCTTGCAATAAATAAAAATTTTGAATCCCTTTTTTAATTTAAAAGGGGAGGATTTCGAGCCTTGAAAAATAATAACCTGTTCTTACATCCGGACCCTCAATTATTGTAATAAAAATTTAATTTGATGAAATGAATAAATTTTGTTCATTTGAACATGGAAAACTATAATAAAAGCTATAAAGTGACTGAAAAAAATGGGAAACGTAAAAACTTACTTCGGGCGTGACAAAGTAACTGGGACTTTTTTCAATGGTGACCTGTCCCTTAAATGAATATGGCATTTTTCTTCGATACCATTCGAGACCTTTACTATAATTATCGTCACGATCGAAAAAATGTACTTCGCCGGCTGCCTTTTGGATTTGTGGATGAAGAAAGAGCATTTCGAGAAGTGCACGTGTACCGCACTTTCTTACACCGATGATAATTGCCTGAGGAAGATGTCTATTGGTGCGAGGAAAATGTATTTTATTGGAAAAAAGTAGTGGAGGTGTGGCGCGGGCACGTGTAACCAATTCTATCGTTCTTCCCTCAACACCGGAAGCTGCATGAAGACTATAGACTGCACTATCAAAGAGAACGTGAAAAGTCAGGAATAGAGAAATCAAAGCGACAGACAGGAAAGCAGCGGCCAATTTTGGTCGCGATATGCCAACCACGAGAATGCAGTCCGATGTATCGCCCTCGGCTGGCCTCATAGCGGAGCGAGGCATCCACCTAAAGAAATAAAACAAAAAAACAAACAAAATATTATTTAATATATTATTTATAGTTTAGAAAATTTATATTGACGATATAAGTCATTAGCAATGGCAGAGTTGATTTCGGATCGGAAAATATTACTATTTGATTTTTCTCTAAATTATTAGCATTATTGCAAAATAATCGCAAAATATATTTTATATACTTTAATCAAGAAGTATAACTGTTGGACTTAGAAACAAATAAAAATAAGTAAGATGGCAAAAACTTTTCTTTAATCTTTTTTAGATTTTTCGATTTCTGTCAGTTTCGATCTATATATCTTTTAAAGTTCAATCAAGTTGTGTCGACTCGAGTATACGTCATATTCTCACATTTTAGCAGGCAATATACACATATTTGATTTTCTCGATCTTTTTTAATGTTTTACTTCTTCAAAATAATAATTATTATTATTAAAATCCATTTTATAACAATTTTTCTTAGTTCGTTTTTACTTATAGTTTGCAACAGTAATTTCGTTTTTAAAATGTGTAGACGCACCCTTAAAGTTTTAATTTAAATATTTTTATGTAAAAAGCATCTTCATTTATAATTGAACTGCCTTAGATTTTTTTTTAATAGCAGCCTTCGTACTCATCTACTAAAACCTACTAATTACTACTTTTTTACGTTGTGCTATTTGGTTACTTTATTTAGATTTCAGTTATTTTTTTAGAATTTCCACTACTTTAAATTCGACAATACTAGAAGACTTTTAAAAAACTATTCTCAAAAATTATAATCAAATTCTTTAAAACGATTCAATTATTTTCAAAAAATAATCGAAATTCAATTATTTTCATTAACTATAGTATTTTCATAAAATTTCGCAAAAGAATTCAATTATTTTAAAGAAAAATTGATAAATTTCATTCAAAATTAAATTATTTTCATAAATAATAAAATGCTTTTCAGGAATTCAATTATATTAAAAAAAATTGAATAAAATACCACACAGACATTCAATTATTGTCAAAAATTTTAATATAATTCTTTGTAAAATTTAATTATTTAAAAAAAATATTCTGATTTCAATGATTTTCAATATCTATTATTTACATAAATTTTCCAAACAGAAATCAATTATTTAAAAAATTTGTTGTAGTAAGCTTCGTAAGAATTCGATTCTTTTCAAGAATAATAAAAATTTCTCAGGATTTCAATTATTTAAATTAGAATTTGCATAAAATTTGTCGAAAAGATGAATTATTTAAAAGATTTTATAAAATTCTTCGCAAGAATTACATTATTTTTATAAATATTTAAATTTTTTCGATAGCTACTTTTTGCTACTTTTTTAAAATTAATTATTGAGTGCAAAGTCTGAACAAAAATCAGGGATAAAGTCAAAATTCTATCTGAAAATCAGGGAAAAAAGATTAAAATTAAAAATTAAAAATTATTAATTAGATTAAAATTTTTGCAACTCTATTTGGAAATTCGTTCCAGTACTCATTCGAAAACATTTTTTCACAAAAGTCACGCTTTTTAATATCTCATAATTTACTGATAAAATTGGAAATTTGACAAAATTGTTTACAATCTGCAAATGTTGCGGACAAACTGTTTGATTTTTATAATTGCTTTACAGCACAGCTTTGGCAAAAATTACCATTAACCAGTATCTTACTTCGTTTCAATTTGAAGTTTACAACGTATTATCACGTAAGTTGGTGGCGTGTACAAAATGGATCTTTAGAAGCAAATTCTAGAGGTAGACGTATCTTGTATAGTAGTTACACGACTATAGATATAGTAGTTATGTTTATACATAGTTACGTATATACATTTGGTACATCTATGTATTTATGTATGTATCTATGTATTTAAGTACATATAGTATAGTTATTGAATATATATATAGGAAACTGGCTGCTTACAGGAGCATTTGCGTGTACTATATTCGATATAGTCTCTCTACCTTCTCTATGCGAAATTTCACCTCCGGCTACGCGAAGACTTTCGTTGCTCTTGCTGCAACTATAATTCAACCCACATTCAGTGAGCCCGAGGATAGATAAGGCAATCACGTGACAATCAACCGTCCACCCTCTATATACGTATAGTCCAGCCAATTATCACTGCCTTTCTCTCAACAGTATTCTTCATCATATTCTCTTTCCATTCATGCATCCCTGGAGTTTATTTTGTTTGAAAAATTAATTAAAAAATTTCCTTCCCTTGTCAAATGGACTACAATTGTAAAATGAAATTATTGTCTTCTACTGAACGTGTATATACAAAAATAATTGAAAATGTCATTTTAGATCCAATTCGGAAATAATTTTCTTTTTTAATTTATGGATACAAATTTGGTTTATGGAAATAGTATCTGTAGGAAAATAGTCCAATAACTAGATTTTGTAATTAGTTATCTGAGGCACTGGAATATTGAAAATTTGAACAGTGGCGAATTTTACCATAGAGAAATCACTTAACAAGAAGTGGAGAGCAATTTATGTAAATTGTTTTAAAGAATTAGCCATCATCATCGTTCTTTTTTCTCTGACGAATTTCAACTTTTGGGAGATTTTATTGAATTTTGTTGTTGACTGTTCTATTTTTTGTTCTCTCAAGCTACGTTTGTATGGAATTTTTTTAGCTTTCTATATAACTTAATCGAGACCGAAATGTCATATATTTTAAATAGTTGCTGTGAAATTGTTACTTTTTGAAATTCGCAAGCACTGCGTGTTGAACGTGACAAGTGGTTTATTGATTCAACGAGTGTATTTGCACATCCATCGGACAAAATGGACTTTTGCATCTGAATTGTAACGATGCAAGTTCATATATGACTGGGAACCGAATATTTATCGAGTTTTCGGCATGACGCCAAATATTCATTTGCTTTGTATAACCAGCAAAGTCTATTTTTCAAAGTATCATTTAGAATTTTCCGCGAAATTGATTCTTCAGAAGTACTACTGTCTCTTTATGTTTTTGAACAGTTTTTTTTACTTTTAGAGTAGTTTTTTCAATTTTTAAACTTTGTATAGAAGTAATTTTTTTGTTCCTTAAATTTTCATTGAGAGCACCTGAGTATTTTCTTTTAGAATTTTAATTATAGATTTTGGGAAAAAATTAATTATTCAGAGAGCGAGAATTAATTGTTACGGATGAGGTGTCACTAGAGGTGTGGTCGCAATGTAAAACACCACTTGAATTTGCCTTTTATTACCTGTAGAAGTCGAAACTGGCGTTTCGTGACTTGGAGCCATGTTTGCTGCGTTAAAATTTAAGACCTTATCTTGGAATCGCTTCAATTAGAAAGGGGGGTCTGCGGAAAACAGCGATTTTACCGTCATAGCACTCCAACAGAAAACTTTAATTAGTTAATTATATTTCTGTCCGGTTTTTCGGTTTCGATTAACGTACTCTAGCGTGGCGGCGAATAATTAAAAGCATATCGAAAAATATTTCAAAAGCGTGAATAAAGTACTTGTAGATTGAAAATATAACAAAAAGTTGGAATACAATTGAGCGAAATAAAAATACACGGATTGTGGTATGAAAAAAAAATTAAGAAACGGAAATAGTAGGGCGAGAAGACTGACTTTGCGTGCTAAATTTTATTGCTTCTTTTTTAATGAGAGTACATACGTATATATATATATATATATATATATATATATATATATATATATATATGTGTGTACTGTGTAATAAAACCTAATAGCTCTTGCATGTAAAATTTGCCAGCTTATTTTTTTTATTCTTTATCGAAAAACATCATTGTTATAATGGCTATTTTCGAGTTTTGACACATTAATGATGTAACTCTATAAATAATCGTCGAATGTTCTTGTTTTTTCTGTCAGAAATCAATCGGAATCAAAATTACTAACATAATATTAAATTTCTAAAATTGCTGCAAAGATTAGTTTATGGCATACAAAAATTTCGATCCGTCAATTCTTCTTGAATTTTTTTTCACTTTAATAACTAAAATTCCTACACGGAGAGAGAATATATATTAAATTTAAAAAAAAACATATGTGAAATTTAGTAAAGTTATGTTAAAATTTAATTAATATTCTTGAAATTTGATATAATTATACTAAATTTCATATAAGTTTTTTTAAATTTTAGTATTTTTTATATCAAAATTTTGCTCTGTCGCAGTTATTCCTCAAATTTTAAAATACTTTTAAAAAATTTAATATATATTCTCTCTCCCTGATATGATATTCTTTCTTATTTCTGTTACTAATTGAATTCTAGAGAATATTTCTTTTTTTTTATTAAAAAATTTTTGAATTTAGGAAATTTAATTTATTCATATATTTTTTAGTCTAAAAAAAATTTTATAAAATTTTTTGCAAACATTCAATTATTTTTATAAACATAATAAAACTCATCGCAGGATTTTAATTAATTTTAGTATAATTTTAAACAAATTCCTGGAATCAATGCAATTATTCTTTAAAATTTATTAATATTCTTCGAAAGATTTGAATTATTCAACAAACTTTTGATATAATTTGTTTTTTAGATTTTAACAATTATTTTCATTACATTTTTAATTTCTGGAAAGAATTTAATTATTTTCAAAAATTTTAATAAAATTCATCATAACAATTAAATAAATAAAAAATAAAAGCGTTATAGTGTGAATTTTTATAAATAATTAAATTTCAATAGATTTTTAAATTGAAATCTTTAAAAATTTTAATTGCTGTAAAATTAAGTTTTGAATAGTTTTATTTAGAAATTTCAACAAAAAAAATGATCAGGGAAAAGTCAGGGATTTTTATTAAAGTACTGGAGAAAATTTAATTTTAAAGAACAAAGAAGTTACAAATATTTGTAGAAATTCAATTATGTTTATGTATTCAATTATTCAATTATGATAAATTTCAATTATCTTTCAAAATAATAAAATTCTTCTCCAAAATTCAATTATTTTCATAAATAATGAAAATTTCACAGGAATTCAACTATTTACAAATTTTTTATAAATTTCTTCGCAATAATTCAATTATTTTAATAAGAAAAAATTTTTTTTAGGGGGCGTCCATAAATTACGTAACACATTTAGGGGGGAGGGGGGGTTCGAGAAAATGTTATCATATGTTACATGGAAGGGAGGGGTCAATCATCATTGTTACGTAATATTTATAAGAAACTTAATCTCTTTACAATCGATAAATTTTTGAAAAGCTGTCCCTTGCCGCCACTTCAATATAAGTAAAAATCGAATCATTTCGCGAATCGATTCTTGGAAATAATATAAAATTATTATTAAAAAAATCAATGTTATTTATTGGTTGTTCAGTATGATTAATAAAATTATTCCTCTAAATGTTTTTTATATTTAACTTAATTTTGTATTGCTATTGAACGATATAAATACTAAAAATAACAGTAATAAACAAATTTGTTTCGAAAAACGTTAGTAAAAATAATATTTTAAAAAATTACGTAACAATGATAGAGGGGGGGGGGGTAAAACGATTTTGTTACAACCTGTTACATAGGGGGAGGGGGGGTTCAAAATTTCACTAAAAACGTGTTACGTAATTTATGGACGGCCCCTTACAGAGATTCAATTATTTTCATAAATAATAAAACGCATCATGGAATTTCAATTATTTTTAATACAATTTTAATCGTATTCCTTAAAAAATGAAATTATTCTTGAAATTTTTATTAAAATTCGTCGGAAAATTCAGTTATTTAAAAATTTGTTGATAAAATTCTTTATAAGAATTCAATTTTTAGAAAGGTTCATTCATTTAATAATTTTTTCATATTTGTATTTAAATAATACAATATAATAATAATCAAAATTTCGTAAAATTTAATTGTAAACAAATGGATTTGAAAATTCTCTAGGAACTTTTGCAAAAATTATTAAAAATAATTGATAATTTTTATCTATTTCTTTGGAAGAATTTTAATAAAATTTTTGAAATTAATTAGGTACATTTTTCGAAGAATTTACTTAAAATTATATTAAAAATAATTGAAATTCCTTTGAATTTCATTATTTAAGAAAATAGTCTTGCAACGAATTTTTATTTTATTTAAATAATTGAAATTTTGTGAAGAATATTATTATTTATGAAAATAATTAAATTCTTGCAACGAATTTTACTACATTTCCTTTGAACAGTTTAAATCCTGTAAAGAATATTATTATTTATGAAAATAATTCAATTCTTGCAACGAATTTTATTACATTTTTCGAGGAATTCATTTAAAATAATTTAAATCCTAGAAAAAACTTTATTATTTATGATAATAATTTAATTCTTACAATGAAATTTATTTCATTTTTGGAAATAATTGAATTGATGTGAAAAATTGTATTACTTATAAAAATAATTGAATTCTTGCGAAGAATTTTATTTAAATTTTTGTAAATAATTTAATTTTTTTTGAAAAATTTTATTTGAATTTTTTAAAATTCTTATTTCCTGTGGAAAAATAATAATGATTAAATATTTATTTAAAAATAGAAGTTATTGATGTTTTCGAATAATTTTACGTTTGGAGAAATTTGTAAATAAATGTAATAGAACAGTTTTTTGAGTATCTAATAATTTTTAGAGTGAATCAGAATATTCCTTAGGGTCAGGGAAAAGTCAAAATCTGTCAGGAAAAAGTCAGGGAAAAACAAAATTAATTTTTACTACTTTTTCAAAAATTAATTATCGACTACGATGCCTTAATTCTAAAAATTAAAAATTTGGATAATGTTAAAAACACTTACAAGACATCTATAGGAGATTGAGGAGACCACTCTCGACGAGGCCAAGCCTTGTTGGGCATCTGCGCTGTATTAACAGTTCACATTCTCAATAATCCTGCACAGAAACATTTATATACATATAAGTCGTTGAGCTAATGAACATTAATGTGGTATATGTGCTGGTACACTCTTACAGTAAATGTGAAATATCAGTTGAAGCTTTAACGAGCCGTACGACTCATCCAAGTGAGAAGCATTATTATTACTTCCCTATGTACCTCTATATGCACTATATGTACGTTTCTACCATGTCCGACTAAAGCGGCCACTTACTACTGTTAAAGTTTCCCTATGTACCTCCATCAGACATGCTATATGCAATATTACCATACAGAGTTTCAACTCTGAGAGCCGGATCATCATCACACAAAGTTTCAGCAAACTTTGAATCATAGTATTTTGAGATAAATTGATTTACTTCTCACATGAAAATGCTCTTACCAGCAGGCACATCTATTATGTTTATTAGCACTGCAGTTATTTTCTGTGCATAAATGTAGAGACATGTGCAAATTCTTCCATTTTTAAAGAATTTCAAAATTCTTTTGTAATCATGTTGACTTGAAACTAAATTAACAAACTGAATTTAGTTTCATGACTCGGAACTAAAGTTTCAAAATCTTAAATTATTAACCTAAAAGTATCAATTTAACAACTTGAAGAAAATGAAAATTTCTTCCCCCTTCAAATTCCTACGTAATTCTAGAATGGCCCCTTTTAATTCAATTTACTCTTTAAAAAATAAAAATACATGTTGGAAACAAATAGTTGGTAATTTAGTTTGTAAATCTAGAGACAGAATGAAATTTCACCTCGGATAACAAAGTTTGTTGCACTACTTTAGTTTGTGGTAATAACAAATATAAGTTTACTCTTGTTACAAAATCCAAACAAGCATGGTAAATTGAAATAATTTTTTCGGGAAGCAAACAAAGAAAATTAGTTAAACCCATTTTTGAATTATAAAAATTAATTTTACTTTCAACATTAAATATAATTATAGTTAATAATTTGACAAGAATTTGTCAAAAATTCCAAATTGGCCATTATGGCTTTTATTTTCCAAAAATATTTTTTCCGTATAATTTTTTCAAAGCACAATTGAAAAATTATCTCATTCTTCTTTATTGATTATAAATTTTATTACACTTGAAATTTAATTCACATTCAGCAGTATTATCTCTTATCGACATATAATAATTGTTCACAAAAATGAATTGGATATAGATATTATATATGAAAAGGGAATTAAGTACAGTAATTTAGTTTCAAGCTATTATCAGGGTTTCTAAATTACTCTGGATTTTGATTTAGCATTGCCAAAAGGAAAAGAGTCAATTACCAATTTGACCTGAATTAGGTACAATGTCGTCCTTCGAATTTATATTCAATGCACCAAATCTGATTGTCGATTTTTAGGAGAAAAAAATTACTATTGTTTTTAATCAATTAATGGAACTTCTGAGAAAGATGCATATCATTACAGTGAGGTTAAATTATTAGAAAACTACTTTAACATTTTTTTCTTTTAAGATATTAAATTTTTAAAATTTGATTACGTTTTAATTAATTACAATTTTGTTATTCAACTATGAAACAAAAATTTGAATTTAAAACATTCTCTTTACTGCCTAGGGTTGAAAAAAAATTGTTCAACTTTTTTATTCACAAACAATATAATTTTTAAAATTATTTTTCAATTTTTTCCTTTTGAATTTAAAAGAAAATGTTGATGAAAATGTTGATTAGTTTTTTTTTCTTTTGTAAGTGTAATAAATACTGGGAATGAAATGAGATAAGCGATTGAATTTACTTTGTTAATAGTATAGTACATATCGTGATCTCTGACCTTAATTCACTTTCTAAATTATGCATCACTTCCGATTGAATGAAAAATTCTCTTTCAAACAACAAAACTCGTATGGCTTGGTGTATAGTAAAGTTATATATCTTTCTATACAGTTGATTGAGAAAGAGTATTTCTTCCTTATGGACTTGTATAGTTGTAGAATGTTATATATATATATATAAACGTGATAACAGGGTTGCAACTGTAATCGATATTTCGAGCACGTTTAATGATGCAGATGATGACCTACTGTTATACAAATCGACGAGAGAATTCACTTCATGTATCTCGTTTATCTCAGTTTCAATTATGGAAATTTTGAAAATGAAAAAAAAATTTTTTTTAATATTTATTTTATACATTTTGAAACATTTTTTTAAAATAAATTTTTATTAAAAAAGGACAAGGAAAGAAATTTTAATTTAAAAACTAATTTTATGTATATTTTTTAATTTATATAATTAATTCTTTCATTTTACTTATTATTTATTATTAATTTACTTATTATTTTATTTATTTACTTTTTTTATTTACTTTTTTTATTTACATTTTTATTTACATTTTTTATTAACTTTTTTAAATCAATTTTTATTAATATTTTGGATATTTTTAATATTTATTTAATTTTATTCAAGGATTATATAAGTTTTAATAAAAATAGTGATAGTGGGTGCTTAAAATTTAATCAATGGTACATACAACTTTTATTCATTTGGACCACAGTTCTGTAATGAATGGATGGCGTACAGCCAAATCACTTCTATTCATTCATTCATTTAAAGTAGAATTTCAATTTCAATTTATTTCAATTCTGAATTTGATCTTTACTCTTTTTATTTTGGTTTAACAAAAAGTCCCGCTTTAAAAGCTCAATAGTGCTTCATAAAATACATTTAGTTTACATTGATTTGTAATTTTAAATATTTATTACTATTATTTAAATATATTCATTATTATTTTAAATAGTTTATTATTATTTATTATTATTTATTATTATTATTATTATTATTATTATTATTATTATTATTATTATTATTAATATTATTATTTTAAATACTTATTTTATTATATATTATAAATACTGTTATTATTCCCATTTTTATTATCACTATTACTATTATTATTAACAAAATAAAATAAGTTTCCTGAAAACGAAAAAATAAATTTTTAAATTTTGAAAAGCCCGCCTTGAAATTAATTGCCAGAGGGCGCCATTGACTTTCTCGCTAGTGGTAATTTTTCATGTCAGATTGTAGTTGTAGTAAGAAGAATAACAATATTGATAATAAATAATAAAAAAACAGCAATAATAATGATTATTATTAATAAATAATTGTTATTATTTGAATTACGAATTATAATTATTATTATTGTTTTTTATTATATTAATTTTATTGTTCATACTCTTTTTTTTTATTATAACTGTTATCGAATGAAAAATATGTATGTAAACGAAATCACATTATTATTATGATCTAATAATTGCATAACAGTAAAATTGCAAATAATAAAATAATATTTAAATGATTTAATAGCGAGGTTATATAATTTTCATCTTTTGTATCGCAAAATAGATTTTTAAAGAAAAAAATTAATGCACTTTGTGTTTAATAATAATAATTTCTTTGTAATTAATTTTATTTGCGAGTAAATAGTGAATATTCTTCTCCTATTAGACTACTTTTTCATTATTAAATTCACTTCTTGCAAAAAGAAAAAAACAACAACAACAGTCATTCATATTAATTAAGTATTGTCTGTTTTCTCTAATTTGAAGAAAAGCTTTCATTTTGCTGCTGTTGAGAATAACGTAAAACTTTCTAGAACAGAAACCTTAATTAAAAATTAAATAGAAACTTTGTTTACTAAGAAAGTCCTTTTTTCCTTTTTCTTTTCATATATGCGAAAAGTTTGTAGAGGGGAAAAATTTTCGAAACTCGATTCATTTACTTATTTTCCATTTGATGAAATAATTTTTTTTTGCCTTTCAATATTGTGTGCAAAATATAATAAACAAATCATTTTAAAAAATGATCACTTTTTTTAAATGATTTGTTTATTATATTTTTTTCACATTTTTTCAAATGATTTGTTTAATTATATTATTGTGTTTAATAATGACAGAATCAAACTATTTTGTTAAAATTATTAAAGATAGTCAATATTGTTATTAATATTTTTTTTAGTTAAAACCGTCTAGTCTTAATAATTTTATAATTAAAATACCTTTTTATTTATAATAGTTTTAATAGTTTATAAGCATTCTTATTGCTCGCTTCTTGTTTAAAACGTATTTCAATAATTTTATAATAAAATGGCCTAGGAAATATTTATAAAATATTGTATGATAATAATAATTTATTTAAATAAAACATGTTATTATTATTAATAAATTTACATTAGTTTCCTGAAAACGAAAAAATAAATTTTGAAATTTCGAAAAGCCCGCGCTAAAATTAATTATTACCAGAGGGCGCCATTGATTTTCTCGCTAGTGGTAATATTTTATGTCAAGTTGTAGTTGTAGTAAGAAGAATAACAATATTGATAATAAATAATAATAATATTAATAATAATATTCATAATAATTAAAAATAAAATATAATAAAGAGAAAAATAATTTTTTTTATAAATAAATAAATACATTTTTTTTTAATTTTTTATATTATTTTATTTACATTTATATGAAAATTATTATGAAAATAACTTTCTTGTGTTTCAAAGTAAATCAGTGTATTCTGATGAAATGAATAATAAGAAACGAAAAAAAGATTGAAAAAATAATTGAAATTATTAGAGATTTATATTGACAAGTAAAATGAAATTATTAGTGACTTTGAGTGGTGGTAGTGATGTATGTATATACATTAATTGGTTGTCTAGAATGGAGTACATAGATTGTTGAACGATGCTATATGCACCGGAATGAGAAGGGATAAGTAGTAGAATCGTGAGCCTGCGCTCTTTGTCCGGTCATTGAGTCAAGGTCTTTCTGCTTGACCTTACAATACCAATTGCTACTTGTAACCCGAAACATTATTAAATTTACCACATTAAGAAGAATTATTGTTTTTCTTTTTTTATACTAGAAAACAAATAATTCCTGAGGTGCTCTCTAATTAAATTTCAAGTGTTTTTTTGTTTCTCTCTCTCTCTCTCTCTCTTGTTTTCCCCTTTTGTATTAAATTTTCCCTTCTTTTTTCTTC